TATAAAGCAGCACCACCACACTGGGGAAGTTGGATTCCCTCCAGCAGTTGTGTGCACGACTTAAAAAAGAGAGCACAAGTGAGAGGAAAAAAGTGCCCTGTGTTATGAAAAAGATTAATTTCCCCTTTCTTTAATCCTTCATATTCAGTGTTATTTGCATTGAAATGCCTCCACTCATTATGCATTGATGTTCACTCAGCTGTGAACCCTGCTTGTTTCATAGCTCTAGGCACTGGTTTTGTAGGGCCTGATCACTCTGGAGTCCCAGGGAAAACCCACCTGGTTCTTGTTCTGGTGATGCAAACATGCAGTATTCTCCTTCTTTTCCTGTTCAACTTCTGTAGAGAAAGTGGAAAGAACAGCTAATGGCACTTCTTTAGGAAAAAATAAGTCTCTTTTTGGCCTCCTGCAAACCTTAGTACGATTAATGAAGCCACACTGGGTTCACCGTGCAGTTAATAGTTTACCAAGCAGTGGCACCTTGAATTTGGTGCTGGAATTGTCTGGTTTTCTTAATACCAAAATAAAACTGAAAGGCAGGAGGTGAAGAGTCTAGGGAGCAAAAAAAAAAAAAAAAACCGTTTATCTGCCTTTTTCTTTGAACAATAGCCTGAGCAGAGAGGAGTCTGGATTGATTTTTCCACGTGGATAGGTTGTGTGTGCATGCCTCAAGAAGAACATCAGGAGCTGCAAGAGTTCAGGTTATGCAACCATTTTGTGTGCTGTGATAAGAAAGTTTACAAGAACTTTACAAGTTTACAAGAACCCACTTCAGCATCCAGAATATGCAGCTGGAGCCACATGAGTAAATGGCAGAGTAACTTGGAAACTTCTCCTTTTCATGGTTAGACTGTGAAAGCCTGTCTTTAGTTCACGTGGTAGTGGTATAAGGTCTCTCTTTTATTTGCAGAGACACTGGGGAGGAAGTGTGGGAGAGACTTGGCGGTAGATGGCCCTCAGTTGCTCAGTGATGAATAGCATAATTTAAGGCCTAGTGGAAAATCTTAGCAGCCTGAGTACAAACTCGCCCAGGAATAGCCTTTCAGTACTTTACAACACTTTGCACTGACCCTGTAACTCTGGGACAGCTTGGCCTGAGGGAAGTTTCACGTTTCTGAGCTGGTTTTCTTTTGCAGCATAAATATCTGCGCCCCCTTTTGGATGGGTGGGTTCAGTGGCTCTCAATATGTATAGTGGCTAAAGGATTCAGTGTTTTTGTTTTTGTTTTTCTAGGCAGGACCCAGTCTGAATTATATAAGCTCAAAGTAGGATATTTATGAAACTGGAGACTTTCTCTGTCAGGATTTAGGAGGCTTTGGCCTTGTAGTTAGATGTTTGGAATGGAGTAAGGGGTTTTTTTGCTTGCTGTGTAGCTCACCTGGAGAAAGGACTAGGTGTCCCTTCTTTTTCTTTTTTAAGCTGGAAGTTTGTAGAAACTCATTTTTTCCTAGCGAGTAGGTGTGAAAAATTTAGACTTTAAAGATTACTTTTACAAATAATTACAAAGCTATGGCTTTTATGAGTTATAACCCTTAATCTCTTTCCATTTTAACTACTGTCTCTACTAAAGCCCATTTATATGGATTTCATTTAGTTTGGTAAATTTTTTTTTTAATGGCTTTGCTAGAGCTCTTAGCCAAGATCCAGACAGTATGGGGGTTGTTCTCTTGCCCAGCTAGAAAAGGCCAGTAAAAAAGCAAGTATCTACTAAACAAGAGAAATCAGCTAACTTCAGTTTATTAAGCCTGAGGGGAGGAAAGAAGTCCTGTGATGAAGGATTTCTTTTTCCTTGAGATTCAGATAGCAAATACACATCTGCTGTTCTCAGCTTCTGTGAATGTGTTTGGAAGGAGGTGATCCATATCACAGGCTCCAGCAGCAACAAGGCATCGGCATGTGGAGGGCCTTTCTAGTTCTCTCATGCAGAGAAGAAAGAACATAGCCACAATGCCATCCTCTGACACAAAGGAACTTGTGTAAATGTCTGTCCATTTATGTGTGTGCACATAATGTGGATTAATTCATGGAGTGAAATTTGGTAAACTGACCAGATTTCAGATTTCAGTTGTGACAATGGAGACTCCAGAAAGAAAACCTAATAAATGTTGTACCCTAGCTTGGAGTCAGGTAAATAGGGCTGGGGAGGGGCGGGGGTGGGACAGAGAATCCATAAAGGAGTATGTCACAGGAAGGAGTGTGTGATGTTGGGACAAGGGGCAAAAAATGTCAGTACGGAAGATTTGAGAAGAGTCTAGAGCTGTACTGTCTAATATGGTAGCCGCTAGCCACATGTAGCTATTTAAATGAAATTAAGAATTCAGTTCTTCAGTCACATTAACCATATTTCAGGTGCTCAAATAGCCACATGTGGCTAGTGACTTCCGAATTAGTGCAAATGTAGAACATTTCCATCATTGCAAAAAGTTCTATTGGACAGTGCTTGTTTGGAGCAGGGGTCAGCATAGGTTTTCTTTTTTTTTTTTAAAGATTTTATTTATTCATTTTTTTCCCCCCAAAGCCCCAGTAGACAGTTGTATGTCATAGGTTCACATCCTTCTAGTTGCTGTACGTGGGACTCGGCCTCGCGTTGGATGGAGAAGTGGTGCCTTGGGGCGTGCCCGGGATCCGAACCCGGGCCGCCAGCATCAGAGCGTGCGCACTTAACCGCTAAGCCACGGAGCCGGCCCTGCATAGGTTTTCTATAAAGGGCCAGATGGCAAATATTTTAGGCTTTACAGGCCATACAGTCTCTGTTACAACTATTCAATTCTGTTGTTGTAGTGCAAATGAATCCATAGATAACACATAAATGAATGAGCATGGCTATGAGCCAATAAAACTTTATTTATGGACACTGAAATTTAAATTTCATATAATTTTCACATCACAAAATATTCTTCTTTTGATTATTTTTCAGCCATCTAAAAATGTAAAAACCATTCTTAGCTCATGGGACATACCAAAACAGGTAGTGAGCCTAATTTGACCTATAGACCATAATTTGCCAATCCCTGGTCTAGAGGAACAGGGAGTCAAAACGTAAGATTCTTTACAGGATAGCAATCACTTGAAAATTTTTAATGTTTCTTCCAGGCTTGAGAAGTTTCTCTGACTAAAAATTGGGGTTCACCGTAGGAACGTTTACTTTCCTTTGTTCCCTATTTTTGCAGCCCAGTCCTCTCCAATGCTCTTCAGTAGGAGATGACTACTCAAGTATTAACCCCTAATTAAGTCACACCTAGGTCTAAAACACTAAACCCTGGGGGCCGGCCCGGTGGCTTAGCAGTTAAGTGCGTGTGCTCCGCTACTGGTGGCCCGGGTTTGGATCCCGGGCGCGCACCGACCCACCACTTGTCTGGCCATGCTGAGGCCGCGTCCCACATACAGCAACTAGCAGGATGTGCAGCTATGACATACAACTATCTACTGGGGCTTTGGGGAGAAAAAGGGAAAAAAAAGGAGGAGGATTGGCAATAGATGTTAGCTCAGGGCCAGTCTTCCTCAGCAAAAAGAGGAGGATTGGCATGGATGTTAGCTCAGGGCTGATCTTCCTCACACACACAAAAAATAAATAAAACACTAAACCCTATTTTTTCTCTACCTGTTAAGTAGCTGAATCCTCACTTGTAACATCGCCCAGTACAGATTGGAAGTTTGCTGTCCCCTGGGATCAGTTTTGTCCTTATACTGTCCTAGAACAAGTTGAATATTGGTGGACCAAAGGGAGATTATTCTTCCTAGGCTAGACAGGCTGTGTTCATCTTTAGGCATCAACTCTGCATCCCCCCCCCCCCGCCTCCTCCCACCCCCTTTTTTATGTGTGTAGATATGGAGAGTAAAACCATTTTAGTACCTGGCTCTATCCCCAAGTCACTATCTTGACTGGCACTGTTGAAGGATGCCTCAGGATAAGGGAAGAAAGGAAAGATAAAAACTGCAGAGCTAAGATGGTCAAGGATACAGGAAGGAAATAGTAGGGGCTAAGACATGGGGAGCCTTGAGAATTAAGATAAATTTCTGTTTGCTATGGAAGGAGGTAGAAGTTTTAGGAAGGAGGTCATGAAGAGTATATGTTTCACAAGTGAGAGGTGGGTAGATGGGTCATTTAAACGGACTGAATGCCTACTGTGTACTGGATAATGTGCTGGGTAATCAGAGATGAATGGCAGATAAGATAAAAGTTACAGTCGTTAGAATGGTGGTTTGGAGAAGGACAGAATAGGACTTTTAAGATAATAAAAAGCAACAAGATTTGGTGATACAGGATGGTGAGGTGAAAAGGGATGCAGGATTAAAAATGGTTACTTTGGAGAGGAAAACAAGTGGTAATCCTAAAAAAAGAAACTGGAGAATAAAGAATAAAAAATTAGAGGGTTAATACTTTGCTGAACCAAGGGATAAAATGGATGAAACCATCATGAGCTGTGCTTGGTCTTCTGTTCTTTGTGGATGTTCACACGTTCAGACCCCTTATGGCCCTTTCCTCTCCCCACGGTTGAAGGACACCTACAGAATTGGTGTCTTCAGTATTTAAGGAATGATACTTCCCCAGAGACCTCTCTGCGAGGAAGTGTGGTCCAGCGAGAGTTCTTTCCACGAGGAGAGAGCGTTAGGTTCGAGCTCTCCTATCCAGGTTTCTTCGAGTTTATCTCCGTTTTAACCGGCTCGCCGGGTTTTCCAGCATTCCCACAGCTACGACTTGCTAATCCGGGCTCCGTGTGACCGCGCACTCCGACACCCAGGATTTGGCTCCTTCATCCAGGTTCCGGGTTTCCCCCGCGCTCTCCCGCTCCAGACTACACACCAGCCTGGAATCCAGATCCGAGGGCCTGGTAATCCAGTGTCCGGGTCTTCCGGGCGGCCCTGGTTGTCCCGGATCGCGGCGGCGGCGGCGGCGGTGGCGGCGGCTGAGGGACCCGCGGCCCCGGACCCAGCGGCACCGGCCGGGCGGGGCGTAGCGGCGCGGGGAGGGGGCGGAGAGCCGGAGCCGAGGTGGGGTGGGGAGGGGGGAGGGGCCGCAGGAACGGATGGCGGCCTGGGCCCCGTAGCAGCGGCGGCTCTACGGCCCGGGGCCCCGGGCGGGCGGAGGTGGCGGCTCCCGGGACCGGCCGCGCGGTGAGTCCGGAGCTTTGTGTGGAACCGGGCCTCGGGGAGAAGGGAGGCGGCGGCGCTGAAGGGGGCCGGGGCTAAGGGGGGCCGGGGGCAGCGGCGCCTGATGGAGGAAGTGGGGGTTGGGGGGCCGGGGCGGAGCGAGGGGAAGGTGTGTATGGGGGGAGGGGGGTCGTTGCGTGGGTGGGGGGAGGGGGCGTCGAGGGGCGCGAGGTGAAGTTCAAAGCGTGGCCAGGGCCGGTTCAGGCTGAGGGTAGGGGTGCCCGAGAGGGGATTTAGGGTCTGGCTTGGTTGTAGGGACAGGCCAGAGAGTTTCAGAGGCGAGTCTGGTATCTTGAGGGGGCCCAGGGCGACTGGGGCCGGTCAGGGAGTTAGGGGCGTTCAGAGCGAAGGGTTGGGAGCAGGACGTGTGCACAGCCCAGGAGGGGGGAGCAAGGTGGCTGGGAGTGTACAGTAAGTAGGTTGTGGGTGTGTGCTCCTTCCACTCTTCAGGTCACATTTACTCCTGTCCTTTTCTTCAAGATGGAGGGATCCATGGGCCTGGCCCTTAACTGCTATCCTTGTCCCCCCAGGAGGGTTAGTGACCCTGTCCTGTTTGGAAAACCCATGCTGCCCTCTTTTCCCTTTATGTGTAATTACGGTTGGATCATCTCTGTGCTTTGCTCAGATTCTCCTTCCTCCCTCTGGGGTTGAGGAGGAGGAGACACATCTGACCAATTAATGTGTGTTTGTGAAACAGGCAGCAGCAAACAGTCATTTCAGCTTCTAGGAATTAGGCTCACACAGGGTGGAGAGATCAGAGCCCTTCAGGGGGAATATTTCTGAACAAATCACAGATGATTAAATTCTGTAAGAAACAGCTTCCTACCTAAATGAGAGTGGGAAAGATCGGGGAGAAAGCCTGTCGTTTCCAGCCTTGAGTCCAGAGCCCCAGGGGTTGAGGAGAGTCCCCAGTCCCCCACAGGCCTCTCTTTTCTGTGTTAGGCTTTGCTCTGCAGCCTTGAGTTAATTTCACCCCTGCTGCTTTGTCTTGGGGGAGGGAGTGCTGGTTTAGGCTGTTGTGAGGAGATGACTGTTCTGCTGCCACACACAATAGTCGTGTCATTTTATCAGGAGTGCTACCCTAGGGCTGAGAACTGCTGCTGCAGAGATAAACCGGTCCCTCTCACCCGCCTATTGTGTACACAGTGAAGGTCATAGGTTCAAGTCTTGTCTGAGGGCTTTGGATATGCTCCATCTCCCAGGCTCCTCAGTGCCATTTTCTTCCTTTTCTAGGCTGGGGCTTGCCATTGGAGGAGGCCAGACAGAAAGGCTCTTCTTTTGGAGTGAGGAACAATGCAGAGCTCATTGGCACACATTTTTCAGAAGAATAGGGGATGCCAGCCATGTTGTGCCTGCCTCTTTGGCTAGTCTGTACTAAGTTGTAGAGGAATAGTGACTGGGAGGCTCAGCCTTGATATTTGTATCAGACCTTTAAGGAAGAAGACTCCAAGGGGAGGTTTCTACTCTTGTTTGAACCATCATATTTAATTCTTTTTATAGAGATGGGACACTCATACAATGATTTTTGTTTATTTGTTTAGGAATACCACTAAAAAGCTGTGCAGGGTTAAGATAGGGAGGCGAGGACCAAAGTACCTTTTGAATGGTGACTTCCTGGTCAGTAATAATTGCACACACAAAAAAAGCCACAGAATTTGCCTATCTGGGCAAGGGCTCTGGAAACAAAACAACTTTCCTTTTAGTCTTTAATTCTGATGAAAGGAGGTGACTTGCTCATTGTGCGGAAAGTCTATATCTGCCTCTCTATTGGGAAGAAATTTACTCAAGAGATGAACATTAAAAAATGGTTTGAGGTCTTGGGGGTTATTAACCAGAGAAGGATGAGAACAAGCCAGATGGAACCCTATCCTTGTATATATTTCATAGAAGTGCCCAAATAATATTTAGGTACTGTTAATTGGGTAAAGAGATATTTGCGGTTAGAAATGAGGTTTCTATTTAGGACATTAAAGAAAACTTTAAAGAGAGGTTAGAAATCAAACTCATTGTGAGAGGGCGGTGGTACACAGTACACTGTGTACACAATAGCCAACCATTTCCTATGGGGTATTGTTGCATAGGAACGTTAGCTTTTGGTTTTGGTAAAAGTCTTTCTGAGGCACACAGTCTGACTGTGTTGCCTGCCTCATCACTTTATTTCAATGAGTTTCTTAAAGTGAGGGCTTGCCATTTAGGTGTTGGGCTTTGTTAGGAGGGAACAGGTTGTTCTGACCTTTATATTTCTTGATGATGGAACTGTCTTAAGGTCTTATAAAGGTGTTTTCTGTCTTTAGACTATTTCCAACTGTATATCCTAGGTCTCTGAGTAAAGCCTCAGCTAAACTGAGTACAAAGCTTTTTGCTCTTGGGCTGTTGGCATTCATTTCTGAATACTCTCAGGTGACAGTGAAGGCAGACGCCTCAGATTAAATTTGCCCTGATTAGATTTAGTGGTTTCAGAGTTGGGCCCTTGCCACAACGGAGTCTTATGAGTCTTCTGATTGTGACCATCTTTCAGAGAGCACTTTGGGTTTTTCCCCCCAGCCTCTTGGTAGAAAATGTTTGCTTGTGAGAGTTCTTATTTTGTGTGAGGATATGGAAGCATAACTTTGGCTCCTGGTAGTAATTATGTTGCAATTAGCATATAGCAGCTAAATGACTGGAACAGGATAATTTGTTGAGGGGTTTACTGATTGCTCTGTCAAGTGGAAGTGGCACTCCTTATTCATTTGACTCTGAACACTACTGCCTGGGTTTAGCCATGGAGACTTAAGAAGTACAGGAATGATGTGTGGTCTCCAGAAGTTCTCACTCTGCTCAGTTTCTCATTACTGCCAAGTACTATAGCACCTTCTACTGCCACTTTCTCCTGCTCCAAAGGTAGCTAAGTAATTGTTATTTCCCTTGTGGAAGACTGGTCATGGATGGGAATACTGCCAGACAGATGAGGCCACTCTGAGATAAGGCAGCCTTATGTTGTGTGGCAAGTTTTCTTTTCAGCAGCTGAATTCACACTTCTGCTTGATTTTTAAAAATGTTTCCTTTAAAACCAAAGAACAGCAACAAAAACCCCACAAAATACAAAATCACATAGTGTACTAAATATGCCTTCGTGATACCACACATAAAAGTTGGCTGTGACAGACAAAATGAAGATAGGTGATGCTGATCGGCAGGTTCTGGGCCCACTAAGTGTCAGTGAAGGACTCTTCACTAGGGAACAGGTAATTCACCAAAGCACCTGCCTAGCTGGGCATGTGGAATTGGCAGCAGCTGTGCAGCTGAAGAGGGATTATTGAGCAGGTGGTTAAAGAATCACATGCCATAGTGACAAGAAAATACTTGGTCTTCCGTGACTTAGGTTCAGTTCATATGTGTGAAATTGCTCTTTGTTTCACATTTCTTAATGCCCTATACTGGTTTGTTAGTGAGATGATAATGGAATAGAGAGAAGAGATTCTTCTTTCTCTGTGTTTCTATTAGATTACTGAGTAGCTGGTCTTAGACATGGTCCTAGACAGCCCTATTGTATTTCTGTGTGTTCTGGCTTTATGCCCTATGAATGGGAAGGAAACAGTGGTAATTCAGTGTTTCTAGTACTTGTTTATTAGGGGGAAATGGGAAAGAGAAAATTTTTTGCTTTCAGTGTGGTGAAAAAGATTTAGCCCACTGGGAGGATACCCAGCTGGTTTTATGCAGAGGATATAATTGACTTTTTGCATTAGGTCCACCTGACATGCCTTAGTCAAGAAATTTGCATGTGTTTATTTTTTTTATTATTTTTTTTTTTTATTTTTTTTTTATTTTTTTTAAAGATTTTATTTATTCATTTTTTCCCCCCCAAAGCCCCAGTAGGCAGTTGTATGTCGTAGGTTCACATCCTTCTAGTTGCTGTACGTGGGACTCGGGCTCGGGTTGGACGGAGAAGTGGTGCCCTGGGGGGTGCCCGGGATCCGAACCCAGGCCGCCAGCATCAGAGCGCGCGCACTTAACCACTAAGCCACGGAGCCGGCCCCATGTGTTTTTATTTTATGAATCTAATTCTCCACATGAAGTTTACATCTCTTCAGTTGTTTGTTTTATTCCACTTTTAGTTTCTCCCAGCACCTTTATAACTCTTTTCTCTGGCATTGAGATTAATATCACTTGTTAGAATCAAATCATCACCAGAGGGCCAAACCATGTTAAGGAAATATCTCAACTAAATATTTATCTTAAAAACAAGTATAGCATTTCGTATAACTTGGAGGAGGACTTTGTTTTGTGGTTTTCTGCAAATTCCCAGATTTTTCTTAGAGGTTATCATCATCATCTTCTTCTCTTAATGTGATTTTATTTTTCTTTCACATGTACATGCCACTATAGTAGGCAGTGCCATAGAGCCTAAAATTTATAAGCAAGTAACTTGGTGTTTATTTTCTGACTTTTTTAGTGCCCTACACTCATTTTCTGTATTAGGCCAACAGACCGTGTGCTCCTTCTCTTGAAACACACACACACTCACACACAATCTAATTGAATTCACAGGGTATTAATTAACAGTTGATTGAAGGGAAATAAGTGATATTAACCGTTTTAGAGTTCGGAAATCTCTTTTTCAAGAAGTGAAGGCTCTGACCTGTTTGTCAGAGAGAGAGAGAGACAGAGATTTAGATGGATAGGTAGATAGATAAATAGGTAGATATAGGGAAGCAAATGGTGTGACTCTGAGGCCAGGGCCAGTGGACCACTGCAAAGACAGGGACATTTGCAAGAATCTGCTTAAACTTAGTAACCCAACTTTAAGTGGGAGCCTAGCAGTTATTTGTATAGTATTCACTTCTGGGAAAGAATATAAACTTCTTTATTTCCCCATATGAAGCCATCACAGTTGTTTGTTTGTTTTAAATTGTTCACAAACCACCATATACTTTCCTAGCATTCTCAGAAGTTTGCTTCCTCATGCTTTTTCCCCTCCCCCATCT